AACGGTTTCAAGTAGGCTAAAGTTAGATCTTTGAGATTACGTCTGTCACTTTGATTTATCGAACAAGGGGATTTGTTTTTGGAGACGATATTTTACATAATTAGGCTAGCATTATATTCGGATCGTGTTGAGAAGAAAATGCTGGGAGATAAATGTTTTTTAAGTGATGACATGTAATAAAAATTTAGATCATCATTGAGTCGTAATGAACGCGCTTAGCGCCACCGTGGCCGTGATCAGCGTCAGCGAAGTGTTTGTAGTAAACTTGTTGACCTTATTGTAAAACAATTGTATATATTGTACGCATATAATATTAATTAAAACAGTATTTGAAGCCAGATTGCCTCGTTGGCCGACTGGTCGCAAGTGCGACTGCCGGGCAAGGGGTCTTCCCGGGGGTTCGATTCCCGGGTCGGGCAAAGTATTACTGGGTTTTTAAAATCTCAGTAGTAGCACGGAGTCTGGAAATGTGCCCGGTATATGGCAATAGGCTCACCCCCTATTACATGGGACTCGTAATATAAATAGTGAAAAGTGGGTGTTACATTGTACAGTGGCATTAAGTGCCGTAATGTGCACCTCTGCCTACCCCTTCGGGGATAGAAAGGCGTGATGTTATGAAGCCAGATTGTATTAAGGTGTTGTTTGAGACTCTCCACAAATTATTGGTAGAAGTATTATTCGCATAATTCGCGTCATTTTGCCAAAGAAAATATTTTTTTTCTGCCCACAAAAAGGTAAAGCGAGCACGGAAATTACCACAATATATCCACATTCACAAAAGTTTAATTGTTACAAATTAACAAAATCACACGAGAACACAATGACAGGTTTGTAAAAATTTCGCTGTTAAAATTCACGAATTGTATTTTATTTGTTGAAAGTTCCACGCAAGTAATGATGTCGATTAATTACTGCTGGCAGGGTCGGGATACCGCAACCATCGCCATTTTTAACACAACACATTTTAACGTTCTGGTTGACAATGTGTTGTTTAATTTAATTATTAGAGGAGTGAGGTAAAAATGAATCGGATCTGAATTAATTTGTAACATTTCAAATTGCCGACAAATTATTAAAGAACATAAAAGAACCTTTATCTTTTTTATTGGCGTGTTCATTAAGGTTTCGTTGTAGTTGAGATTAGTTCGTATTAACGTAGCTTTCTCAATATTTACAATTTTCTCAACAATGCTACATATAATCCTGTATTGTCTCTCATAACATTAAATTGAACAAACAGATTTAAAATCAATAGGTACGTAAGCACACATACATAAATGTACAAAGTTATGATCTACATATTTTCACTATTTTGAAAGGTGAATGCAATGTTTGAAAACAGTGAATCTGCAGGCTATTTTTCACGTCTGAAATCTGAACATGTTTGCTTCGAAAACACTCAGCGATACATATGACTTGCAGATGAGTTGTTGCATTTTTTGACGCTAGCATTTTATGCTTTGATACTCAGATTTTAAAAATGTGTTTTGAATGAACTAGCTTTTATTGTTTGTTAAAATGTAGATAGCATCCATATGGAAGATAGGAAAGAATATATTAAGTGATTGAGAAATTGAAATTGTGGATTGTATTCTTTAAAATATTAGTCTATGATTTTCTTTCATGTCAAAGACGAGTTCCTTTAGCCAAACGTCACGTCGCGTCACGTCAAGCGCTAAATGGCATTTGGCTACAGCTGCTGGTTTTCCACATGACAGGATTACGGTCTATTATTTATTTTACTAACTGCAGCTGTATACTACATCTAATTATAATTTTAGTTACCATTTGATACCACACAAAATCTAAGAATACCTCATTGGAAAATTGAGTAGAAAATCTCATAGCTTCCACTTCGTAACTAACCAACCGCTACATTGAAGGAAAAAGGGGCAGTTTTATCCAAAAATATAGGCACTAAAGGGCCGAGTAAATAGCAAGTCCTGTCCGGTCCAAAAACTTTTTCACTCTAGTTTTCAATCCCAACCCTTGAACTATTCTCAACTGGACCTAACACTCAGACCGTTGATATACCCAAGTAGTAGGTACACTCCATTTCCCTTCAACGTCTGTCCCTCATTCCCATAATTCAGAAGCACATCGTTTATATTCAAAGTAAGCAGGTATTTTAATTCCACACCATTCGTAGTCGTACCCTTTTCAAAATGGTTGCGACTCGGGTGTCACTTCTGCGTGATTTCACTCGAGGTATTATCGAGAAAATTGGAATGCTAAAAACTCTATTTAAGACCATTCTCATTTTCCTTAGTCCCAACGTAAATGTTACGTGCATGAAATTTTAGGTAGGCTGAGTAATGGCGTAATATACTATTAAAGAGGACAAGTGTCCTCTTTTTACCTGTTATTGATGTGTTCATACTGTGCTTATAGTAAAACACATGCGGAAGTACCAGCTGATCTTTCAAGTTCAACCCTTTAGTAATGTTATCTGCATGATGGATATTATTATGATAACAAACTGAAGCAGAGTTTTGGTTAATCAATGAACGGTTAATAAAAGTAATACAATTTTTATATAGACGAAATAATCAGTAATTTTGAGGTAGTTTATTTAAACAAACTTTTCGGCAATATACATATACAAGTTAGCTATAAATGCGCAATTAACCGAACCCAACCAACGTAGTACATTTTAATTTAGCATAATTTCGCGAAATAAGACATTGTTCGTTGTATGAATAGAAGAATAGAGCGGAGTGTTGAAGCGTACCACAGTTCCCCGCCACTGGTACGTCACCGAACAAATATCGTACGCAAGCTGGTAATAATACACAAATACACTGCTCTGTGTACCCTGTGTTTGTTTGTGTATCACTATGCGAGCTACGCTCATAACGTCGCCATAACTCCACGCAAATTGTTTGATGGAATTTGTAACGTGAAAATGGTAATGCATTCTCGTTTAGGTACAGAAAATTATTATACTTTACGTACAGCGATAACTAATAAACCAATCAACGGCCAGAAGATGTTGTTTCATAATAATATACGTTACCTTTCATCTGACAAATAAAAATTCACTAAAGTACTCACGCCTTATAGTGAGCTATTTTCATCTCCCCATCAATCATTTTGACTTAAAATCGTTGGGCAAGATCACGCATAGTAACTATGTATATGCTAACGTTGTATATGTTCCAAACAGTGTATTTTACACTCGTAAATCTGACGAGTAGAGTCGAGACTTTCGTAAACATTTATATTTTGCGAGCACTATCATTCATACTACTCGCATAATCTGTATAGAACACCTCTTTGATACACCTAGGTATAAAAGTTGTATACGGAAAAGTTACGAAGATTTATGGTATGTTTATTTATAATAACTATCGGTCTACTCTTATTCCGGATAAATGTAAAAGCTTTATTACTCTTTCGCAGTATCTACTCTGCGCATTGTTGTGTTCGCGCTAAGGAGGCAAGTAACTACGCTTGATTGACTCGACGTCATTTTTACTTTATTTGATGAATGGACTGGGTTCTTAAATCCCTGAATATCTCTATAAATAAATCTAAACAGGAATGACGTATTTCGTAAGTATTTTGAGAGAGATGATGCTAATCCATCGGTTGTCGGTATATATTTGTCTACCCACGCGTCAATTAAATTATAATCCAGATTGGTATATTGGGCCATAAAGCTTAGTACCTACTTAACTCGTTAGTTTTGTGGTCATAACCGCAACCGCAATTACTAAGCGTCACACTTCTGTAAGGGATCTATTCAGTTAATTTATTAGACTCGAAATATTTTTCAGAATTTATGTAACATCTATGCGATCTAATAGAGAAAAGTTATCTAGCCTAAAATTGTATGATAGACAATTTTAGACATATACAATTTTATGCGGAAATATTTTGGCTGAAATAGAAGATATAATATCCCTATTTAATTTGATTTATTAGCTGTAAGAGTTAAAATAAATAAATAAATAAATTTTAGTTAATTTACAAACATACCTAATATGTTTATTCATTTGTCCTGTATCAGTTACCATTAAACCTTCAACAGCATTAACTATTATAAGTATATAAATACCAACCTAACCCATTATTTAAAAGTACCTACATATGTATACCCACAGGGAACATTACAGCGTTGCCGCCGATTTATAATGCGAATTTCTCTCAGCTGTTACCCGTTCGCAGTCTGATCGTCAACTAAATAGGTACTAAGAGTACGTCGGTATATATGTACCTATAGCGTTTGTGAAACTACCCTCGCGATTCTGAATTATGCGGGCGCCGCTATTGTTCACACAAACCATATTGTGTCGATAACAAAACTACCAACGTTCATATACTTATGTTAGTAGTTAATAAGGAATGAGAAGATTAGAGAGAGTGTAAACGATAAGTCTAATTTGAATGCGATTGTTTGAACATGTTTGTTGTCTTGGGTTAATGTTCTAAAATAACTTTGTAATTGATCTTAGTAATATTGAACATCTGAAAATGTTTATTGGGTAAATTCAGTAAAGATCGGAAGAAACCGTTTACACTTTACTTTGATTATAATATATCTGAAATTCATGTTATTTTTATAGAAATAGAAATAGAAATTTATTCGCAGGAACATGTGATACAATGGATCTTAGTCTAATTTTCAACAGTACAGTGTATTCCACCTTTTCCAGGCATGCAAATGTTTGTTTATAGTATGCACTCACATATTTTTTAAGAGTAACTCATGGAGTTTCTTGCTCGTTCTTCTTCATTCGAATCTATATTTTGGAATGAGCACCTAGCTTCACCTAGCTTCACAGACGGCCTGACTGACAGACTATTATATATAATACTACGAAGTTCTTATAATAATCACCTCAACAATTCATCACTCTTTCAGTTTATTTAAAGGACTTTTTATCTTAGAGACTGCATCGTCAAATTTATCCTTCTTAAAGGTTGTTCTTATAAAAATGAGCATATACTGTCTTAATACTTTTATATCCAAAAAATATGTAAGTTGTCCTTACCTTAGCAGGATCTTGATGCTGGCCGGTGACGTAGACAGAAGCCCGGCGCCCAAGCAGCGTCCTACTGACGATGGAACTGCTCCGACGACCAGACATACGATCCTGGGGCACCGGCAACATCTTGCTTCTCTTTTACCCACACACACTACACAATACTCTAACCTACTCTAGCATTACACTTCAAAATAAGCACTTTGTTACACTCTTGATTAAATATACACACATTTCTACACTCGCCTCATAGATTTTCCCCTCGCTAATTACACATCTTTCATTCTAACATTAATTATAATGGAATGTTACACTTTATCACTTTAAATTAATTTTCTAATATTATTTTTAAATAGGCACTATTATTTTCACTTCTAACACGCTCCTTATTATTATTATTGTAACTTCAAAGCGTGTCGTTCATGAGTATTTCATTAATCTGAAACAAAATAAGAATATATTTTATCTTAACCGTTTAGGTTCTGGGAGATCCAGACAGAAAAAAAATTGAGTGACATGGGTCATCATAAGCGAACGCCTTTCCCGCGTCCGGCAGTCAGACGCAATATGATATGGGTTCTTTTTCAAAATGGCAACATTGAATAGACGTCTGATATCTAGCGAAAACATTGTTCGTTTGCTCAGACCTGCCCATTTACACTAAACAGAATGGGGTTACGGAAACGTAAACACATTGTCCAATTTGATTCTTTTCATATTCTGACGGTTGTTACCTACTACAGACAAAATAGTTTTGTGGTGATAATGAAAAAATGGTGCTTTGTTGCGGTCTTGTGTTTTTTCTATTTATTTTTCTTCTTAAAAAGGTAACAGGAGAGGTTTTTCACAAAATTAATTAACCTTAACTCGTATAACTATAATTGGGTGCGATAGCGCTTGTGATTAACACCGAAGATTCTACAGATTCTACGTACCAAGAAGTCTGATTTACAATAATTCACGATCTTATATAATCTCATAAACAAATCAATTGCCTCCTATTATATCAAAATGTTAACAGACTGAATATGGAAATGAAAACCCTTTAACCTTTTCTCAGCGTCAAATCAGGCGTTTTGTAATCAAAAGTTATCAATTTATAAGAATATAAGATTTTTTCACTTTATACATAATATCATTTCACCCTATAAACTCAGAACTGACGTCATCGGTGAACTTCCACTGAAAATAAATAGCAGTAGATATTGAAAGTAGGAGACTGCCCACGCAACCATCAAAAAAGTATAACATATTTATGTCGAACCCTTCAAGTTCCTTACGACTGGTTGGATTTACTTCTCCTTGTACCTACAAGGAGAATGACTCTTGACTCTTTTACGAATCAGAAGTATTTAAAGAACCAACTTGTATTTAGAACCCAATTAGATGTAAACATAATTTTTCATTTAGGCAAATCATAATGGCCGAGGCATTCAAGCTCGACATTCGTTCAATTATATTTTTAAAAAGTTCATAAACAAAATTGCCCTTCAAATACAAATAAACGAGCACTTAGCGTGAGGTATTTTCCCTTTACGCAGAAGGAACATTTTTCTTTAGTTTTTTCTAGGATTTGTGGGCCTGTAAATGGGCTCGGAAGTTTCCGTGCATGTGCTCATTTGGTGAGGTTTCGGCCCGCCCGCCGCAACGTTATGCAGACCTACCCACGCAACGGATCACACGAAATTGGACGACCGCGATGTTTTCTACCCATTTCGGAGATACGGGGATTTGGGCGAGGAAATTCGTTGAAAGTTTTACTAAAATAAACATGTTTTCCTTTTCTTGTTTCAATACAAAACGTTTTGAAACAATACGCGTCGTACTGAGAAAACAATTTTACTCTTGAATAATAAAAACGTTTAAATAAAATTGTGTTTTACTTTCAGTGTTAAGCTAAACCAATAAAAAGTCTAGAACAAAAACATTAATTCAACAAGTACCACTGCCTGATTATACCAACAAACAGCTCCGCAATCCATAAACAAAGCAAGAATCATACGGTTCATTAGCACTTAAACTGGCTCAGCTTTGCATATTTAATCATTCAGCTGGCTCTCCTATTCAGAAAATAATATAAAAGAAAGAGAATTCCGTCAGAAACAGGTACACTCGTTAACCCTGCCGCCGCCGTGCCGCGGACACGAACGCGGACAGTCGTGAATTAAACACGCGCAAATACGTGACGACGGCCTCTCAGCTCAGAAAAGATGAAGCGTCGGGTTAAATTGGTGCCTAGCAAGCTAGCAGCTTTCTACTCCAGACTAGAGACACTTTTGTCTTAGAATTTGTTATTAGTTGTTAGTGTGAAGTTGCCTTTCGATGCTGTTGTACTGTGAACTGAAGATGTGGACAGTTTTCAATTAAACACGCTAATGGATGACAGCAGCCGCTCTCAACGAACTGAAGCTCAAGTTTTGCTGTCGAACAGCTTTGTGACACAGTTTTGTTAGTCAAGTCTTGGTTATTGTTGAAGATTTTAGTTGGACGGAGTCAATGTATTTAGTACCGTAGGTATACAAACAGATACTTAGAATAGACAGGATGAAGAAACATATTTTGTCAGCAAGATAATAAAAGTAATAGTCACATATTTCCAGTATCTACCTATAACAAAAACTATTCTCCCTACATTTTTATTAATATCTGTAATGGACAGAAAAAACATTTAATCATCATTTCGATTAATAAACTCACACAAAAATAGTGTTAGCCAAAGCAATAAACAGCTGCGTAAAACCTGGGTGTAAAACTAAGAAAACGGTAAAAAACGTAAATTAAAAAAGTAAAAAATGTTAATTCTGATGGTAAGTATTTGGTTTTAATTAAAAGAGACACTCCACAGCTGCTTGGTGAAAGATTTAAAGATAATTGTAAATGTAAATGTCGTGGATGTACCATCCTGGTGACCTAATTCTTGAGGGATACTTTTTCTAGTTACAGACTTTGTGAGCAAATTATCCACAGTACTTCTCTCTTTTTCTACCAGATTGGTCTGAAGTTATTTAATGTCAACTTGATGAATGGTATTTGCGTCATATTCTCGAGAGAAAGAAAAAAGTCCTCATAAAGAGATCGATCAACTAATACAAAGACGGATGAAAGATTTAGGAAATCAATAACCTTAAAATATTATTAATTTTGGATGGACCTAAATATTAATTCATAGACAAATCAACTCTAAGAGCCTGGTTAAAACAGTTATTTTAATATTTTAAACAACAAAACTTTTTAGAACTTGAAAATTCTTTTTTCAAATTCAAACTATCGGAATATGGTCAAGCGCCCGTTAGTAAACGGTTGTCAAGTCCAAGTCTCGGGCAGTGAGTCTGCGAAATGAAGATGGACAGGGCACTAATAACTTTACTCAAGGGCCCTTAGCTTGAGGCAAGATGGCGATTAGTCTATGCAAATGAGAACTATGACGTACATACGACACGGTAAGTCAATATGCCTAGGTATGTTAGTAATTATAAAAAGGCTACTCGAGAAGAGTAATGTAATATACTAGAAACCAACAAATTATAATAGGTGCAAACTGATGCAATATGCAAAATGATAATATGTTTTCAGGATAATTAAGAAGAAAATAATTAAGAAGAAGAACTTTTTCGAACTTCTTCGGAAGAAACACCAAAGATAACTTCAAGCTTACAATTTCTTTAAAGGTTGTCAATTAAATTGTAATGGAGGAATTGGGTAGACGCTAACCTATGTTTAGTAGACTTTTAACTTAACTTACCAAGAAAAAAACTATGGAAAACTAAAAAGTTTCCAAATGGCTAAACGGTCAGTATTCTAAATTAAGTATCTTCCTTTTAGAAAAATATTAACATACCCAATATCGAGATTTTATTTATACTTCTTGCTTAATAGCCGTAAATTCTTTGTGACACAGTCCATTTTTAAACTCTGAAGTGAAATAATGCACGACTCGGACTTATAACCAAGTTGTTCAGTTAGTTTACGTAATAAACTATTCCAAGTTAAAAGTTAATTTTTCTAGCCCTAAAGGTGGCGGACGTAACTCACATTTTATACTTTCTTTCGAACTAATTTGTTTTGTTTACTTTATTTATGAGTTTCTTTCTAGGGTTGCAAAATGAAGTGTGTAACTGGGACATTTACTATTTTTAACACTACGTTTTGAAATTGTGTAAGCACCTATTATCAAGTATCACTAAGGGCCTAATTTTAGACGACATCCGTAACATTAAAAACGTGAAATATTTCACTTTTGCTAAAAAATAATAACAATCAATAAACTTGCAAGCATATAATAGGAAAACGATACACGGAAATACGATGTATTTATATAACATTTAATTTACTCCGCGCCACGTCCGTTCGAAGTGGGTCACATAATAGCACCCCTTGAATATTGCCACGCACAACGGTGAGATAGATAACTCCACACTTTAATCCAATCCAACTTATTGAGTTATCTAAACTATCATCGCTTTATAGCCATCCGACGAATTTATATTCAAAATACGGCGCCTCTCTGTGTCACAGCTTTAGAACCGCTAATAACAGATTTGTCTACGATAAAATACCCCCAGAATAAGCTTTTGTGAGCTAAGCTTAATTCATCTCTTAGATATCGCCATAAATGGTGAAACCTGCCGTTACGTAGATTGTTTCATTACAGACAGATTTGCTGTTCATCGAGGCGACCTATAATAGATAGGCGTTACTTAGGTGGTCAGTCAAAGGTTAGAGACGTGCCTATCGTTTAATTGTGGTACATCATGCCAGGATATAATGCCCTATAAAGGTTGATCACGATCCGTGTAAGTGGATACTAATATTAAATCCCGCTTGCCCGGATTTTGGACACGCTCAGCGCTTCAAGCGCTTAACAAAGTAGAGCGATATTTCAGGCTATGGTAGGATCATCAATCTGTCTTACAACTCGTCTCATAATGCATGTAGGCACTACGTATGTGTCACCTTCCACTGTAGTAAATCGGCCAATCGATCAAATAAATAAGGCACTTATTTTATTTTGGCCCGACATTACGAAGGCTAGCGGAAACGGGTCCAATTGATTGAACAATTGGCAATCGGATAAAGTGACCGAAGCGTGTGGAAGCATTTTAGTGTCATCTCCATGCAGTATTGAGCTTTTCACTAGTGTCGTGTTTCTGTTAATGCATACCCTGGTTTTATAATTTTATAAGTAGAGGAGGCTGAACTTGGCACAGAAAAATAAAAAGCCTAACAATACACCGAGTTTACTTTAGGACCAAATTATGTAAAGACTTAAAAGAACACTTAAGTCTTCAGAACAAGTATGCCAGTGACAAACATGGAACAAGTTAAGCCGCGACTTGAAATAAAACTTAATTCAACGCGACCGCATCTGAATTTCCAGACTACATAATTAGTAAAGTACGTAGATAACATA